TGCTCTTGCAGAGGACCTGGGTTTGGTTCCCAGCACCCACATGGCAACTAATAACTGTCCATAACTCTAGTTCCTTTTTAAATTTAAAAAACAATTTTATTATTTTTATGTGTATGCATGTATTGCCTGCATGTAGGTAAGTGCACCCGTGTCATGCAATGCCCAAGGAAGTCAGAAGAGGCTCTTGAAACCCCTGGAACTGCAGTTATAGACAGTTGTTAGCTGTCATGTGGGTGCTGGGATTCGACCCTGGGTCTTCTGCAAGAACAGCCAGTGCTCTTAACCGCTGAGCCATCTCTCCAGCCTCTACATTCTACTTTTTGATACACAATTACACAATCTCCCACTGAACCCAAAGGTCACCAACTGGTTAGACTGGCTGGCCAGCAAGCTCTGGGGATCTGCCCATTACTACTCCCTGCCAAGGACTAAGGCTACATCCATGCATTACCATGCCCAGTTTTTACATGGGTGCCAGGGATCCAAACTAAGATCCTCATGCTTGCAGGGCAGGCACATCACTGAGTCATCTTCCCAGTCTCTTCTGAGTTGTAGTGAATTTCACTAGTCCTAAAATCCTTATCTATGCACCCACTTGTGAAAGATGTACTCTTGCTCTGGACTGTGTTAATGAATATGTTAAAGCAGGAGTGAAAAGCTTCTAATCATGTAGTTATTAAAACATTTTTTTAAATATAATGATTAAAAAAATAATTCTTCAAAACATAAAAATTTGCTCCTTAATAATTAGTAGATGTGAAAAACATTATCATTGAAATCTACCTGATGACTTTATATCCATGCTCAGATGCCAAGGAGCTCAGAAAGTAACCGACTGTGACTAGTAATAATCTGCTATATAGAGATTAGAAATGCATGTGTAATCATCTTAATGTCAATCGCATTAAAAACAAAGTTTTCTGTATGAAACTCTGTATTTTAATAATGAAATGGAGATCTTTTTTAAAGGTTAAAACCTCATTTAATTTTATGTCTTATAGGGTTTATACTGAGTACGATATTGTACAACTGTAATAATTCACCTATAAACCTAAAAATGTACATCCAATTTTATAAGAGATGCATCCTAGCTCAGAAAATTGTTATTGAATATGTCAATGCTGATGTAATGAAATGCTTCTTCTAAGTATGTGGTTATTAAATAATTTAAAAAATAAATAAAAAATATTCTTATCTAGTACCTGTACTTCCAGTAGTCTCTGCAGGCTCTAGCACTGGACAATTTTGATGAATTCACCATGAATGTTGTTGTCATTGGAGACTGATTGCTTTTGTAGAATTTGGAAAGTTATTAAAAATCTTTGGGGATCCCATATAAGAGTTAACAGGGTAGAAGTTTACTCCAAGATAGGCAGTCTGAGTGTGCCATAGAGCTTCCCAGAGGCTTTCCTGCCTGATAATATTCACATCACCTGGAATCTGAGCTCACTAGGTGTTACTCCAATGGACTGGAGTTCAGTGGTTCATAGGTATGATTAGGTCCCAGTGAGTTATTCAGTCATGTTTACAGAGCAGATAGTCATCAGGACAGGTTATGCTAGGACAGGAAGCTGTAACAGATTGTCCAATATTTTCAGGAATTTGTTGTAGCTCATCCCACACTGATGGCAATACATTAACCCAGTTGGTGAAATCTAGTTAAAATTCTTGCCTTTTCACACCTTTAATCCCAGCACTTTGGAGGCAGAGGCAAGTGCATCTCTGTGAGTTTAAGGCCAGCCTGGTCTACATAGTGAGTTCCAGGCCAGCTGGAGCTACAGTGAGACCCTGTCTCAAAAAAAACCAAAAAAAAATTTTTTTTTAATTCTTGCCTTTTCCTAAATAACCTGACGTAAATTTTTATGCTTCCTCCTCAAATTAGTGAGAATTTCTATTGCTTTGGCATTAGGAATTGATCTAAGAGGTATCCACAAAAATTGAGGTTTTTAAAAAATATTTATTTTAGCCAGGCGTGGTTGGCACATGCCTTTAATCCTAGCACTTGGGAGGCAGAAGCAGGTGGATCTCTGTGAGTTCAAGGCCAGCCTGGTCTACCTACATAGCCAGTACCAGGCCAGCTGGGGCTACAGGGAGACCCTTTCTCAAAAAAAATTTTTTTCATTTTATATGTATTGAGTGTTTTGTTTGTATATAAAAATGCACCATGGCCAGGCATGGTGGCACATGCCTTTTATCCCAGTACTCGGGAGGCAGAAGCAGGTGGATCCTCTGTGAGCTCCAGGCACCTGGAGCTACAGGGAGACCTGTCTCAAAAAGACAAAAAATAAACAAATAAATAAAAAATTGCACCATGTGCATGCAATACGTGCAGGTCAGAAGAGTGCATCAGATCGCCTGGAACTAGAGTTACAAACAGTTGTGAGCTGGGGATGCTGGGAACTGAATTGGAGTCCTCTGCAAGAGCAGCCTGTGTTCCTAACCACTGAGCAGGAAAAAGGGTGAGGGGGGTCAGTGGGCATGAAAGGGAAAGTGAGAAGGGAGTTGCATCTCTGCCTCACCTCCAACCCCCAGGACAAGGCAAAGTAAACTAGGAGACACTGAAAGGTATTTCCATCCACTCCATTAGTTTCCTTTATCTGCACAACCTCTGTAATGGAGAGCTATACTCTTTTATACTGCCTGCATGTATGCAAATGCACCCATGTTGTACAATGATGGCAGAGGTCAGAAGAGTATCAGATCCCCTGAAACTGGAGTTATAGACAGTTGTTAACTGCCATGTGGGTGCTGGGAATCAAACCCAGGTCCTCTGCAAGAGCAACAAGTACCCTTAACCACTGAGTGACTTCTCCAACCCTGGGATATGAATTTTCGTAGTTCAAAAAAAAAGCTCGAGGAGGCAGCAAGGTGGCTGACTCCTTCAAGTTGTGTGACACCCATAGGTATGAGACCAAAAAATTAATGCTGTTGGAGGCCCTGCAGATGACACTGATGCAGTTCTAATGGCTCTACAGTAGAGCCCACGCCCTGATTCCCTGGGGAGACCACACATCCCCTGTGCTTGGTTGGATGAATCCACAAGTGACCAATCAAAACAGAAAATACACACCAGACTGTTAAAGAGAAATACAATTTTAATTAAAAAAAAAAAAAGGTAAACTCTAGGCATCTGTCATATTTCAGCCTAAAAATCAGCAAACTGTTGAAACAAGGCACACTGTCCTCATACTTGTGACATGGCTCCACTTACAAAAAAAATCTTAATGAAAATGTTAAACATAAAAATAGAAGTTTGAGATTTTAAAAAAGTGTATAAAATAGCCCCCAAATGTGTCAAGGTTTTTCTTTTTCTACAAAATAGCACCAGTAATTAGAGTAAAAGTTGTTAAAAACAAAAAAAACAAAAAAAAAATTACAATAGCATTTCTGAAATGCAGGTTTTCCAATCTCCAGTGACCCCTAAAAAAGAGTCCCTTAAAAAGATAATGTAGTATGGAATAAAAAGGTTTAAAAATCTCCAGGAGATCAAGTAGGTAGCGAAGTTTCCCCTGCTTTCTCTTAGATGTTGGGAAAAAAGGAAAACACGTGCTTCTGGCCCTGACTTCTGACAAGGAGTTAGGGCATCTATCTGGGGACCTGTACTGGTAGGGTCAAGTGGGGAGGGTTACCCAAGATCCCTGCTTCATGCCCCTCACATAGGGAGGAGAGGACACTGAGAATATTTGGCAGCTTATATTAATTCAGCCACCTCTTCCTGAGCGCCTCCAAAGATTCTATTCCAGTCACCAGGAGGGTTAGCTATCGATGGCCCCTGCCTAGGGAATGTTGTGGGGGAAATAGCCCTGAATGTAATGACATCATCCCCGCTGACATCATCATGCTAAGAAATACTCCCAAAGACCAACAGGAGACTCCAGCCCTTGCAAATCAAGGGGAAGGTGCCAGGTAAAATTTAAGACAGACATATATATCAGCATTTATTCTTCTGTTATCCCTAAGAGGGATGGGGGACATACCTGGGACCTGAACATCTTCCTGAGCTACATGCTTACATTGGCATCTTCCAATAAACATGGAACAAACAAGGGCATTTAAAAACAGAATCTCTCTTGGGTGGTTTTGCAGCATTGACCTGAGTACTGGGAGAACTGTCATTTTGGTATCTTAGCCATCATGTCTGAGTGGTGAACCCAGGAGTGGGGAAAAAGCCATTTGACTACCTATTTCAAGTTTTAAAGTTTCGGTACAAGAAAACATGAATGAGCACCATGTAAGGCCACTCTAAGCAGCCAGGTCTGAGTTGTACACAAGGAGGCAGCACCTCGGGCTCCCCTACAAGGGGCCAGGAGGCTCTGCTCCCACTGAGCAGGAGAGAGCTGAGGTACAAGATGAGGCCACGCACAGGTGAACTGAGGTGCCTTCAGGCTCTAACTCTAGACTCTGGGGCCTGGCTCTAACAAGACACCAGAGCTCTGACCATCTCAGAGTAGAGCTATTCACATGCAAAGTAGTCCTTCAAGGGGGCAAAGAGATGTCTGATGACAGGCACACTCCAGGACCTTCCCAGCAGCTTCTGGCGGGCACTACGACCCATGTTGGACACGTCTGTGTAGTGTACAGGAAAGCCGAAGATCCTGGGAGAGCACCAATGTGAAAAGATGAGGTTAGAAGGGCCCATCATGCCAATCCTTCCCACATGCCAAGAACAGCTCTCCTCTGAAAGTTCTCACCTGGGACAGTCATCAAGCTACGGCAGTCTCTGCCCATGACTACCCTTCTCCATTACCTTGATAAGGTGTACTGGGCTCTAAAGGAGCCATGTCTAGAACTCCAGGGAGCCTAGATCTACTGGTTCTTCAGAACTGACAACTGATAGTCACAGAGCACCTGTGTGATCCATAACCTGCACTGAGACTATGTTCCTAGCACTTAGATGTACTCAGAGAACCATTTTTAAACACATGTGAATCACTCTAAGAACTGATTGCTAGCCTACCAGCAGACATGAATTTGGCTTCAAAACACAAGCTACACAATTTCAAGAAAGAATAAAATAAGATCACACAGATTTGCAATCACAATTCAATAGGAAGGGGGGCTGAAAGATGGCTCAAAAGGGCACACTACTCTTGCAGAAGACCCAGTTTCAGTTCCCAGCACCCATGTCAGGAGGTTCAAAACTGCATGTAACTTGAGTCCAAGGGTGAAAAGATGCTGTATTCTGATCCTGGGAGACACATGCACTCACATGTGTGCATGCATACACATACACACAAACACCCCTTTAAATTCACATTGCCCACAGCATTTGATCAAGGTCCTAAAGAGGCTACAAAAGAGCTGACCTCAGTATTGAGCAGGCTTACAACAGTCCTAGAACTAGCACCAGTGGGCTGATACCGAAAGAACACACTTCAAGCCCAGGTCTTACTACTGTGATCTACTTCGTGCCAATCACGACTAACTGGACGATCAACAGTGGGGAATGGAAAGATTGGACAAGATTATAGTCTTCCTAATTACAAATTTCTTCTACAAGTGGGCCATTATGACTCATGTCCTGTACACCCAACATTTCAAGGAGGCTGTGTCAGGACAGCCTAGCACACATAGTTAAGTTACACATCCACCAGAAGGAGACCATGGCTTCCAAAGGAAAAAAACTGAAGACTACTGTTAGTTGAAGCAAATAAATCTTTAAGGGAAATATGGAGTATGAAAGTCTTTAAGAAAAAAGTAAAAAGAAAAACTGAACTCTAAGAAATGGTTGTTCACTGACAATAGGCAATTTAGCACAGTAAGAGACCAGATAGGCAGGCTACGGAGGGATCAGCAGCAGCAGCAGGAGAAGCATCAGCAAGGTTTCCTCAGGGCTCTGATATACCTAAGAGCCCCAATACTGTGGGACAGGAAAAAGTCAGGGTGATTCACATAGGCGCGGTCAGGTGGCACTGGAGCTGTGTAACGCCCTCACGCCTCTTCATCACTACCATGTGAGCATTTCTATCAGGAAATAAGGGCTAATTCTGACAAGGAATTATTACATATACCTGCTACATAAGGGGCAGTGGGACCATGAAGTAAGGCAAACAACTGTCCATGTGTGCCGCTGGCCCTGACCACACATTCCTCTCCTGTCCTTTTTCACCACCAACTCCCTCTCCAAGTGCAGCCTTGCTCACCTTTCGAGCTCAGTGCACCACAAAACATCTTCTTTGCCATTCATGACTACAGGGAAAAGTTGGTTTTTCCCCTGTCTGATCGAGTTCGACTTGGTGGTTATTGTCTGTACTTTCTTCAACTGGAGAACAAAACGACATCATGGAGTGAGCACAGAAGGTTCCAGGAAAGCCCACATCAGGCTCAAAAGCACCCAGAGAGGGCAGAGGAAGGAGGGCGTGTGTTAAGAGAGGTGGCAGGGACAGGCCTGCACAGGGAGGGACAAGGAGACTTGAAGGGGTATTTCGTGTGTCCCACAAACACCAAGTTAATGAAGAGGAAGGAACCAGAGAATGTGATAAGCAAAAAGTGACTGTGAACAGATCACATGGGGCCAAGATACCAGTTTCTGATCAAAAGGAGCACTGAAAACAGAACTCATCCAGACAGAACGACCAGAGAGACAACAAGCAGGTCTTTGCTCGATGCAGACCTGGAAAAGCAGGCACAGGGAGGGCTTAATGTTTATCTGTGACCTCAGAGCACATTAACATTTTTTGCAACAGCATCAATCACTCTTTTATTACTGCAAGGGCCCAACACAGCCTCTATGTATCTAACATCAACAATCGCAAAGTCTAATTGCATCTTCTTACTGCGATTATTCGTCAAGAATATCTCCTACTCTGGTACTTGAAAAAGGGACAGAACAGTCATGTGGGGAAAGAGGCCCAGCACCAGAGAATCTTGTGAGGGGAGGAGCAGGCACCAAGCAGATACCACCAAGGTCATTCGGTGTTTCCAGAGGGTGAGGGATATGCTGTTCAGGAGCACGTCTTACCTTTGCTGTCCTACTGAACTCCAAGCAGTCCTGCAGCTCGAGTTTATCATTCTTTGATGCTATCACGGGCCTGGGAACAGCCAAAACCCATTACTGTCTACCAAATGCAGTGAGGGTCTAAGCTAGAAACCTCAGAAGTCAAGGGAAAGAGACAATCTGCTTCTTAAGTGTACCCCACAGTGACCATGCAACACAGGATGAACACTGTCCTGGTAAAAGCACAAGTCTGTGTCCCCAGGCCAAGGCTCTGAAAGAAGAACACATTAACCAGGTCACACTGTTCACACCACGGCACAGGAGCATAGAGTGGGACCCAAACCCTATGCAAAATAGCTAAGTGTTCTACCACTGAGCCACGTACCCAGGGTGATACCCCTTTTTGAGAGGAGAATGCTCTAGATCTTTATGGGCATCCTTAATATGAATCGTACACTGCTGGGATGAAGTTCAGGATGTTCAAGTGCATGCAACCTCCCAGCAGCTGTTCACCCTTCTAACTTCCACACTGCCAAATGATTTGGCCAAGATCAACAAGAAACAGATTTCATAGCAGAAACCTGCCCGCAACATCCACCTGAAAAATCCATTACTACAGGGAACACCAAGGTCAAAAAGAAGACATCAATATGTGCATAACAATTCACTCAGGAATCCACGCCAAGCCCTGAATCTGCAGACCACCTTGAGCTCACCTCCAGCTGTCTAGTGACCACCTTTAGGAGCCTACATGAATCAGGAGACAACAGAAAAAAAGAAAGCACAAACCCAGATCTGTGCTCACTGGGTAAAAGCCAGCCCTTGGCCAAGCCTCAGTCCAATCAATCCCAGAGACCTAAATGTTTGAGAGAACCTCAGCCAAGTAGTTGACTAACTTTCAGGCATGCCATGGCATCTGCATATCCTCACGTACACACACAAATATATAATATCCTCATATACACACACAAATATATCATTATCAACATAAAACAGGAAAAGTTTTACAAACTAGATCTGAGTCTTAGATCAACTGATACGTGACAAACCAGCCCATACCAGCATATCCCAGCTATATATATATATATATATATATATATCAGACCATCTTGCCAAACTAAACCCCAAGTACTTTATCAAAAAGCAGCCAATGTACTAAATCAGGCTATTGCTGCTCATCTACAAACTCTAGAGGTTGCCACCTGCCTTTATGTTCTCACTGGATGGCATCTTTGGGGGCAGAGGAATCACCTGTCATCTCTTCCTTTTTATAATGTACCACCTCACTTGTCCCCATCTTTGCCCTATTCCTACTATCTAACTGCCTTTCACTAGACAAAATACATCTCAGTTGCTGTTATCTGCCCATAATCCCCAATGCCCATGTGTAACCACGTTTAAAGCATAGTTCTTTCCAAGACACAGGAAGATGGAGCTCTAACCTGTCTGGGAATGTCCACCCACCATGACTCCAGGGCTCTCCCTTCTGCCAGGATGACTCAGTGTCTACATGGTTCCTTCAGTTCTGCTGAATGAGTCATTCTTCCCATCCCCATGCTCGATCTATCAAAAGCCAACTTCCCATCCATGAACATACATTGCCACCCACTTCTCCCCTCCCAATCCCATGCTTTTGGCTGAGAAAACCTGAGGTAGTCAGTGTCTGTGCTACTGACACTGCCAGATAATCACCACAGGCCCCGTCCATCTCAGAGACATTTATTGACAATGGAAGTGTTAAGAGCCACAGGAAGAAGAGGGAAGATATAGAAACATCAAGCTCAGCTGCATTTGGTCCATGACAGTCCTAGTATTGATGTGGTCTGGTTCATGGGTGTTTGATAACCCACCTGTGGGGTTATCAAAGAACCAGACAGTTGACTTTCAGTTATCCAGTACATCGTAACACCTCAATGGTCCTAACATCCTAAGTCGGGCAGTTTCCCAACACTGCCAGAATTTTCTAAGAGGGTGAACTATCAAAGCTGACATTGATATAACTTTACTGTGTTATTTGTGCTCCCTGTCCCTCAGAGATTTTACCTGTTCATCCCAGGTAGGTTGCCCCAGAAGTATCGAGCCCTGTGAGCCGCAGAAACCTTGATGGCATCAATCATCACTGGGTTACACTGTGGGAAGAAAAGAGGGAGCTGCTGGAGCCACCTCAAAATCCAAGTGACAGTCAACCCAGGTTTGACCTTTCAGTAACAAGTATGCCCCCTAGCTAGAAATGATACAAAGTGGTGAGGAGGGGGAGCACATCTTTAATCCTACCCATGCAGGAGGCAAGGGCAAGTGGATTAAGCTTCAGACCAGCCGTGGCTACAGAGAGACCCTGTATCAAAAAATAAAAACAGAAACAAAGGCAAGGGCCTCCCAAACAGTGGAGAGACCATTTTCCATCCAGAGTTTGCTGGAGCACAGAGTAATGTCTATCTACGGTGGGTAAAAAGAACAGATCAGACCTGTCACTCTGACATAAGGTCTCTTCTAGGACATGCTAAATGACAGAATGTTCTAGAAGAGAAAAGCACTTCAAAATCAATGCTGGGAGTGGAGTGTATGCCTGAGAAGACGCAACCATGTGATTCATGTGACAGCAGGTACATAGCCAGTTCTATTACCTTTGAGGCTAAGGTTCTAAAGTCTTAAACAAAACCAAGGTACAAAATGAGGTTTGGTGGTACACACCTGAAATCTCAGCAAATACAGAAAAACAGGGGCCAAAGAGACGGCCCTGTATGTAAAGGCGCTTCATGCTAACCAATAACCAAGTCACTGAATAGAAAGAATGAACTCTGAACTGACCTACACATACATAACATGCCATGTATGCATGTATGTGTATACAAAAATAAAAAAGAAACTGAAATACATAAATGCATGTACTCATGTTTGTTGTATGTTAATTTATGTACTGGTTACCCACATACCTCAAACAGCCATTACCCGATGAGAGAGGAGAAAAGAACACAAAAGGTGAGAGTCAGGGGGCATCTTAGGACAAGAGGGTGATGTGGTTTCACATATATTCAAGGGGGGTGGCTAAATCTTTGTTTGCTCCCCAGATCTAGCCCCATTTTCCTCCACCAGGAAATCATTTCTCCAGTCAGGCCCAGCTGCCTAAATGTCAGCACTGCCTTTCCCCTGCCAGGTTCTTCTTGTTTGAAGTTTAAGCCACTCACCGCCAGGAACCGTGAGATGTCCTTCTTGTCATTAACCTTCATGGCAACCACATTCTCAAACATCCAGAAAAACGGACGGTTGTCACCCTCTTTGGGACGGGTATAATTCAGCAAGTGGTAAAACTCAAAAAAGAGTCGGCCAGTACCCTCTACATCCATAAAAGAGCATCAGAGAACAGGGTTCAATCAAAACACAAAGCACCACCCTCCACACTTCAAGATAAAAAGGTTTCCAAGGACCCAATGTCCTCTCACTTCTACCTTCCTAGAGTAAGGCTAATAGGGCATGGGAAGTGTCCTTGCTAATATAATGCTGAGTATCCAGGCCGGTCACTGGGGAGAGGCAAGTCGACCTTCACCACAGCAGGATAACTCATACCTTTAATCCCTGTATTGGGAAGCAGGGATCCAGGCCAACCTAGGGGAACCTGGTCTCAAAAAGACCAAAAACTAAAAAATAAATTAAAGTAAAAGAAAACAGTAACAGGCCATGGGCATACCTAAGACAGAGCTCTGAGCAAGGTCAGAAAGGCTGAGCAACTACCAGCAGTTCCTTTTCAGTCACCCCACCTAGACCAACACCGCAGAGGCACTGAGGGAGGGGTCACAATGAAGACTGCTCACCATACAGTCCTTTCCTGGCAGGATTGACATTAGAGAGATCATTGCACGGGCTTCCACCAATCACCAAGTCGAAGGGGCCCCATTCTTCAATCTGAAGGGAAAAAAACAAAAACAAATGGCAGGGATGAGCCCGAGGAAGGAGGGAAGCAAAAGCATAGTTTCTGAAGGGAACTGCTATAAAAATTCAATTCTAGAAATTTCATCAGCAAAATAAACCTCAACCAGGATATAAAAAATAATAAAACTGTTCTTTAAAAAGTAAAAAAAAGAAAGCCTAGATTCTAAGGGAAACGCCAAAAAGTTCCAGGCCAACTGGGGCTACAGGGAGACCCTGTCTCAAAAAAGAAAAGAAAAAAAGAGAAAGCTTAGATTCTAAGGAAAACGCCAGGAAAACTCAATTCTAGAAACTTATTTCACCAGCAACTCTACTTTTAACCCAAGAAATCTCAATACTCATATTAAGTCATCCTAGATTATTCCTAAGTAGTCCGTTTTGCCACTTCAAGTTAAATAGTCCCCAGGTTCTCCTCTACCCCCAGCCCTGGGCCTGACAGGACAACACGCCATGGGGGACCAGGACCAGCTCAGGCTCTGGGTATAGAGGGGTAACGAGGAGTATGAGAGTCAAGACAAAGGCCAGCCTCACATTTCTCTTTGTGATTTTCCTGACGTCATTCACGTATTTGATTTGCCCTTCATGCTTCACAGTTCCCACAGCGATGGATTCTGCACAGACTTCAGAGGCGACGTACCTGTCCACTTTAATACCCAATTCTTTGAGGACCAAGTAGCCTGTGAGGGGCGGGTAGAAAGGTGAGGACAAATAAGGCAAAGTGCAGAGCGGCTCAACCCCACTGCTTCTCCCTGTGGCAGAATGAGGACTTCTTACTTCATTACTGGCTCTTTAGGAGTGACTGTGTCAACTCCAGGGGACCCCAGGGCTCTGCCCAGATAAGCTTAGGACTCTAGCAGAGAACCCAGGTTCAGTCACAGAACCCACATGGTTTCTCCCAATTGCCTGTAACTCCAGTTTCTGGTGTATCAGATGCCCTCTACTGGCTCAAGGAAACTGCATGCATGGGGGTGCATACAGGACACACAAGTATTTTTTAAAAAGCAAAAAAACCTCCAAAAAGACCTCAAAGAGGTGGTGAACAAGAAAAAGCCATGGAATAACATAAGAACAGGTACAATGAAGGCCCTTCAGTGGTCTACAACTGCCAACTGGGGGAGGCCTTTAGCCTCCTTTAGTCTGCCTGCAGAGAATCCTCAGGTGAAGTCCCAAACTCACCTGTCGCAATTCCATCAAACAGGGACAGAACTCTAATTGGCCGTCGTCGGGCTGCAGGAATAGCTGGATACAACTTGGGAGGCTCCTGATAGGTAAGGGACATGGTGATGAAGGTGCAGGGAGCCCATTCAACATCAGAGGGTGCTGGGCTGATGCCTCATGGAGTCCCACCCTGCTGCACCCCTGGAGCTGTGGTGAGAGAACCTGTGTGACAGGCTAGCCTGCATTTGGCATAGACCAGGACATTCTACCTTAGATAGAAGCACAGCTGAACTGCCCAGGGCCTCTAAGAACAGAAGAGAAACCCCTACAACAATGTGGGAGCAGCTGCCCTAGTCACCAACTTAGAAGGTTCCTTCTTATTCCCTCATCAGGCAGCACTTGAAGAAGGCAGGGACAGCTGTATATACTAGAAGTGTGAACTGACAAGGCCTCTTAACCTATGAGACAGGCAGTAGTAGTATTATCCTCAGGCCATAATCAAAGCAGTGATACCTATATTAGAGGGATCAGCTAGTAAGGCCCATCAAGCTGAGGCTCTGAAATGCACAAAGGGTATGATGTAAAGTATCTTGCTATCCATCCCTGACTGGTCTAGTACTATTTATTTAGCCCAGATTGTGCCTGTGGCTTACAAATTCCTCCAGATCGGGAACAGTGGTAAAGAAATCCTGCAGGCGTGTGTTCCAGTCCTTTCTGCGTCGGAGGACACCATGGCAGCGCTGAGGGAGACACATGTAGCAGCTCCAGGGTTCCTGCATTTTGGCCTCTTCAGCTGTGCCTGTGCCCACCAGCACCTCCAGACACTCAACACAGAAGCACCTATGCCCAGTGGCCAGAAAAGACATCATTGTTACCAGGAAGCTGTCCTACAGATTCAACTTCCTCAGGGAATGGTAGCCACTGCCTCAAGTTCAACCTCCTAGTCCAGGAAACTTTTCCTTAAATATCACTGACTCCCTTTCAAAGTCACAGGTCCTTCCACAGAAATCAGGATGTCAGGCCACAGATCAAAGGAAGGCGCCCCCCCAAAACCCTACAGCCCTGACATACACATCTAGACTGACCACATCACTATGTATCTATTCCAGTCCCTGGTCATAAGCACCAGATACACATAATGACTGCAGGCCCTGTCTTCAGTTCATTTCAGCCCAGGATCACCAGTTAGCTCTGAGCAGTCTGTAGGAATGGTGGAGAACCACCTGGGAGCCCAGCCCTCAAGTCAAGCCCCAAGGGCCCGATGCTCACCGGCAGCAGCTTGTGTTGCTGCACAGAAGTAGCTCACGGCCCTCACAGCACACGGTGCAGTATGACTGATAGCCATCATCATCGTACATGTAAAACAGCTCGAGGAAGCGATCCTGGTAGCCAGAGAAACACAAATGAAACTGTGGATCTGGCACAGCCGGGTCCGTCTAGCCAAGCGAGTCTAGTTGAGGCCCTAGTGCGCCTTGCAGATGGACTTCTCTGCTGCAGCACCAGGCCCCAATTAGGAAGGCTGGGGTCTGAGGAAGGTCTTCACTAGGGCCCAGAGCAGGGACTATGTGGGAGGTAAGGGTAGAAGAGCTGGAGAGAAGGCAGGAAAGGAAGGGGCAGGAAGACTTACCCGGCATGTCTGGCAGAGCCCACCCTCAAAGAGTGGGTGGAAGGACACAGGGTTTTTCCTCCCACAGGACAAACAGCTGTCTGCAAGAAAGATAAGGTGTCACAGTTACGGAAATCAAGGGCCTACTACCATCAGCTGCTTAAGCCTCAAGCCTGACAGCTCTGAACATCTGCTGCAAGTCAGCAATGTGCAAAGAATCTCTGTAACATGCCCAGTGCGGTGTTTCAGAGTAGCTGTCACCATTTCAAAGACTGGGAAAGTCTAGTTCAAATCAACAAATCAGAAAAAGAGGCCAAACACAGACTAAGGATGACCATGTACCATATGAACATTTAAACCCTCTAACCTTGAGGCACAAATGGCAAATACAATTAGCTTGGTAGCTGGTGACAGGCCAAACCATAAAAACAGGTTTGCAATTCTGGTGCTCTGATGCTTCCTAGTATGCTCCTCTGCCTTGGATTCAACTGAACTGAGTAGATATAGTGCTAGGTCTAAGACCTTTACAAAGGCTAAGACTGTTCTAAAGAGAGGTAAAAAGAGGTGGAGGACTCATTCTTGAGTACATGGAATGATGTGTGGGGCATCATTACCAGTATCGCCATAGCTTGTTCAAAACTGCAACATTCCCAGGGTGGTATGTGTCTAGGATCATGCGTCTTTCCTCAATTTCTTTTGTGCTGTGTGTGTGTGCGTATGCATTTACATACATGACTTCATGCATGCTGAAGTTCTTCAGTGGTCAATACTGGGTTTTTCATCAAGCCAACTCTCCACCTGTGCTCTTTTGCTCTGTGTGTTTTGAACATGTACCTGTATGTTTGTTGTTTAATACCACTGCTTGTGTGGAGGCTGTCAGGACAATCTGAGGTGATGTTTCACTGTTGTACTAAGCTGACTGAGTCTCCAGGTATTCTCTTCCATCTGCCTGAGTCTCCACCAAGCTCTGCAGAAGCACTATGGTTAAGAGCACTAACTGCTATTCCAGAGAACCGGGGGTTGTTCCAGCACCCACATGGCGGCTAACAACTGTCCATAATTCCAGTTCAGAGGACCCAAAACCCTCTTCTCACCTCCACCTGCACTGACCACACACCATGGGTACACTTACACACATGCAGGTAATACACTCACACACATAAAATAATAAATAAGGAATTTTTTTTAAAGGCAATCACACCACTTGATTCAATGATAGCAAGTAAAACACAGGGAACAGAAATAGGTTTTGACCTAGGTCAAAGCCCAGGGTTCTGGATTAAACCCAGGAGGAAAAGGCATGGTAAGGCAGGCTGAGGCAGCCTGAGAAGGGAGGGCTGGGTTAAGTTAAGTACCTTCCAGGTTGCTCTTGTTGTTGGTAACATCGGAAGCCATTTGCTCTGTTGACGAAAGAGGGACAAGGTATGAGATGAAGTCAGAAGGTGCTCCTTGATCCCTCAGCACTGCAACACTCCATCCCATGATGCAGTGGCCCTGGTAGCCTGCTGCTCCAGGTAATGTGCAATGCATCTCCAGACCTTTCAGACCTTTCAGAGTCCCGCTAATCACCTCGGCTCTGATCATCCTCCCCACGGTCCTTGCCACCACAGCTGTTTGTCTTGAGGCGCTTGGGTAGGGGACAATAGTCAGAAGTTGCAGAGTCATCTGTTGTGCGTCTTCGACTTTTGCTCTCTGTGATAGGTAAGCACAGGGATTTAACAGAAGGGTCCAGGAGGAGGGTCCAGGAGGAGGGCCTAGGACAAGCCCATGTTTTGCTTGAGCTCCTCCAGCATCTACAGCAGGAGACTATGATATGATGGCTGTACAGACCTCTGGGCAGGTAACCCAGAACAGAAGCAAATTCAAAGTTCCTCTCATCCAGGAACCAGGACTAACTCATGTGCCTGGTAAACAAACATCTGTGTATATAACAGCATCCATCCTTCTATTCATAGCTCAAAGAACAGAGGCTCAACCCACAGTTGGGGTAAGCACGGGGATTCCCAACACAATGAGAAACAAGCACACACAGCTACTGAACACTTGAACTGCCATGACAGTCAGGAGAGTCCACACTGAAGGTCAGGTCCAAAATGACCAATTTATACATTCCTTAATCGATGTCTAATCATTGAATGTATATTATGAATATACAAATTAAGTCATCACTAAAGAAACTGAAATCAGTTTTACTATCTAGAAATATTAGATTAAGCCAGGTATGGTAGAGCATGCCTTTAATCCCAGCACTTGGGAAGCAGGCAGAGGCAGACGGATCTGAGTTCAAAGCCACTCTGGTCTACATATAGAGTTCCAGGCCAGGAGACCCTGTCTCATAAAAACAAACAAACAAGCAAACAAGCAAACAAATCATAGTACTGAAAGTTTCTCTGATCTTCATGTATGTTAAGCAGACAAAAAAAAAAAAAAAATCACAAAATAAGTAAATGAAAAACGCCTTTAATGCCAGCACTCAGGAGGCAGAGGCAAGGGGATCTTAAATGAGTGTCAGGTATAACAGCAGATTCCAGCACTCGAGAAGCCAAGTCAGGCAGATCTCTGTGAAATTAAGGCCAGCCTGGTCAATATAGTGAGTTCCAGGCCAGCTGGGGCTAAAGAGATACCCCTGTCTCAAAAAAATCCAGAGCTAGAGAGATGGCTCAGTGGTTAAGAACACAGGCTGCTACCCGGGTTCGATTCCCAACATCCACATGACGTCTAACAACTGTCTATAACTACAGTTCCATGGGATCTGATGCCCTCTTCTGACCTCCACAGGCATTGCACAACACAGGTGCACTGACATTTATGCAGACAATATACTCATATACATAAAGAATAATAAAATATTAAAAAAGAAAAAAAAAAGGAAAACACACAGGCTAGAAAGACGGCTTGGAGGCTAAGAGCTCTTTCTGCTCTTGCAGAGGACCTAGCTTTGGTGCCTAACAACCATCCTTAACTTCCAGGAGCTCCAACACCCTCCTCTGGCCTCCATCGCCAGTGCGTGCATCGACGCACCCATTTACAAACAAGCAAGCAAAACATTCATACACATAAAAATAAACTTTTTTTTTAATATAAAAGACAACATAAATAGCCTTCATGACAAAGTGCCACTTGACAGTACATATACCATTTTTGTTACAAAATAAAGAGACAGCAGGAACCCAAAGAGTGCTAAGAAGAGGTTGGCTGTGCACCCAGGTTAGCCTGAGGAAGATTGGGGGAGTGGTAGAGGCAAGAGATTCAGATCAACTTAGGACATTTGATTCTTTTCCAGTGTGCATTGAAAATGACAAGAAATTACATGAGAGGAAAGAAAATATAATAGGCAAAGATGAGGAGGGAGTACCGTGTTTCCTGGATTCTAAGTCCTTACTGCCTGTACGACGCACCTTCGACTTATTAACCACTTTTTTAGGGAAACAAAAGAAAAACATTACATTAGATGCAAGCTGTTCAGGTCTAACCCCCACTTTGTTAAACCAAGGTGTAACACAGTGAGGAGATAAGGGAGCTGTGTTAGGTGGCATGTGGGCGTTTTGGTAACTAAATTTCACCAGTGCCCTACATGGCAGCTAACAATTATTAGTAACTGCAATTCTAGGGGATCTAATGCCTACTTTCGGTCTTCTGGTCTCCATGGCATTGCACACATGACGCACGTAATATGTAGACAAAACACACTCATACATAAAACAAAACTAAGGTTTCAACTTAAAATGATAATTACACATGGCCTTGGGAACAAAGCAGCCAGGGAAGCTAAGCAAAGCGGCAGCAGCAACCTCATGTCTTCCAGGCTTTTAAGAGCCTTGGCCTGTGTTGGGCTATGGAAGTGCTGAGTCCAGCACGTGGCAGCTGGGATAGCACTCTGGTCTGAGGGATACATTATCAGCAATATTGGGGATTCTTTCCCACCTGGTTGCTTGTTGTTGGGTTTGAGGCCCTCAATCCCAGTGGGCTTGAAGCCTCCGTGGGCCCACTCCAACATGGGCTTCAGCTGGTCCTCCAGTGAGTCTGCAGGGCTGGTGGGGAAGGTCTTGCCAGCTCGAACCCTGGCTTTCTGCCAAGACAAATCAAGGCAAGGTCTGGCCATGAACGGGAGTAGGAGGATGTGTATGTCAGGATGAACCCAGGGATCCCCTCTGTCAGGGGCCTGCATTTCCTTCACACTGGGACTTTTCAGAGCCAGACAGCTGTCCTGAGCTGTGCTATTTGACAGGGGGATGCTTTGGAGAGAGGGGTAAGGAAGCAGCAGACTATAGGAATGGGGGTGGGGGATGTCCTTTCCCTACAGGCACCAGATATGATCTCTTCCCTGTGGGGAATCTGACTGGTTGGCTCTCTCTTTGGGAGAGGAATTCAATTCAAGTTCTGATATTAAAATACATAAGCCAAGCCAGGCATTAAGGACTCTAATGGCTTGGGGGTGGGGGGTAACTGGCCTCACTTAACTTCCTGGTCTACACCTTGAAGGACAAGACTTACAGGAATCCAGAACCTGTTTAGTAGTATGACTATTGGCCCCACAGGTACAGCAGTCATCATTACTGATCTAAATGGCAGTACTAACTTACTGGTGATGTCCTGTAACATCGCAAACCCTTGTCCTCTCCATCCATTGACATTACCATCACTATATTCCTGTCTCCTCCAAGCTAACCTTGGCAACATGGAGGCATGAACTATAGCTATCTTTCAGAAGGTTTCTTTCTCCTGGGTCCCAGGGTTAAGTTCTAGCTAGCACCCACACCCACATTACCTCCAGAGTGTGGTACATAGCCTTCCTGTAAGAAACCAGTTTATTGAAGGTGGCCAGATTAAAGTGCTGACTGAACAGCCCCAAGGCCACCAGTTTGTCTGCAGAGACCTAGGAGAGAAAGACACCATAAGCATCTACCCATACCTGAGATGAAGGTGCACAGGTTCTCTGAGAGGCCCATTTCTGGGACAGTTAAAAGATGGGCTGGAGAGATGGTTCAGAGGTTAAGAGCACTAGCTGCTGTTACAGAGGACCTGGGTTCAATTCTCACACCCACATGACAGCTAACAACCATCCATAACTCCAGCTCCAGGGGATTTGATGCCCTCTTCTGAACTATGGGGATTGAATGGCATGGGTATCCTTACATGTATACAGGCAATATACTCATACACATAAAAGACAAAAATAATAAATTAAAAAGATACTATGGTGGCACATGTCTTTAATACCAGCATGTGGGAGGCAGAGGCAGGAAGAGCTGTTAGATTGAAGCATAATGAGTTCTAGACTAGCTGGAGCTACAGAGACTCTGTCTCCAGAAAACAAAACATATTCCAATGCCAAAAATAAACAAGAAAACATACCTTGTAAGGTAGAAAACTCTAAAATTAGTTAAGAGGAATGCTGTTAGTATAATTAGGCATATGCTATGTGCTTCAGCTGTGTATACATGCGTGACAGACCAAATGTCACTGGTATAAACATAAGGCTTGGTCCTGAAATTCACCTTGAATGTATTCTTCATGTACTTTGTATGTGGGGTTGTACACATGTTCTCTGCCCTTCCTGAGCATGAGGATGAGTGTTTAGTCTTTGGACTGGCATTCAGTGATCACACGATGTATAGGTTTAGAGAATGTACTCAGCATAGCATGAGCTCCTATTACTCACAAGTACCCAGCCAAGGCAGAAATGAATTCTAGCTGGGATTCCTCGTGAGTGGGAAGATGAGTGGGTGTCCCAGGTAGCTGATCACAACTGGACACATGGGATGCCCCAGTCTACAATCCTTGCTCTTATGCTCAGCTCATCTTGTACCCAGAGCCTCACCTCTGTGGCAGGGCCACCATGGGTGACAAGAAACTGGCAACTGCTCTAGCCAATGAGCAGAACACAGCAAGAGCTAGCTAGGTAGGCTCTGGGCAGGTCTCAGTCCTTGGCCAAAGCCATAGCATACTAATCCCATCCCATAATCCTACCAGCCCCATACAGCACCTTACTGCCGTCTGACCCTGTCTGAATAAGCGCATGCCACGTCTCCTTGGATTAACACAAAGGCAAACATTCCCATTCTATGTCATGGAAGTCTTGGGCAGATCCTGGAGGGTGATGCTTCCCAGGCCAGTCTAGGCCCAGGACACAAGTCCTCCTGCTCCCTCTGCTGGTCAGACAGCATGACTGCATGCAGCCTCTCCTATCAGACAGACTTGTCCTATGGTTCTTGTCCTTAGGAAATTTCAGTGTTTATTTGTGGAAATGGCCCTAAGGGAACCCAATTTATGAGAAATGCTGGAATTCCTCATTGACAGAACCTGTCTAGTACAGGTGAGGTATCTAAGTTGGATCTACAGACTCAAAGACAAATAGAAATAATCTATTTTATGCCCAGAAGACCCTCATTACCCAAAATGAATTCAATTTCAATTCCTAATACCAATCAATATTGTTTCCTTTGTTCAGGACAGGGTCATATTCAACAGCCAATCTGGCGCAGAATTAATGAAAAAGCAGGCTGGTTCAAACTTGAGTCAGTCCCTTTGCCTCAGCTTCCCAAATGCTGAAATTACTGGTGAAATAACTGTAACGTTATGGGAGAAAAAAAAACTTCCAACTTGGATTCCTGGCACAGAAACACATGAACTCCTGACCCTAAATGGCAGAGATAATACTTTGTTACAACCACATGTTCTTTTGAATAATGTATGTCTGACCCGCCACCACCCCTGACACCCTTCAGAGTTCATACTAGTAACTGTCCCTTCCCAGAAGCAAATACAAAATAAGTAAATTCTAATCCCTAAAGCTTTTTGAGAGTAAGATTTGTCTGTAGTTCCACAAGCTACCAAGTATATTTAAGACACATAACTCAGAAAGAATCTTTTCTTCCAGACCCAGTGTCAAAACTTACTACATCCAGGGTTAGAAAGCTGACCTCAGAGCACCCACAGGAAGGGAAGCCAGGCCTCAGGACTCTGAGCCCCACAAACCAGCCTTCCCCTGGACTCACCTCAGAGAACTTGCCATCACCAAACCACTGTACCCATCTCATGCCTGGCATGGCCTGGCGCTTAGAGGTGGCCCTCCAGGAAACCACCATGGCAGGCCACCAGGAGAAGCCCTTGATCTTTCCCCACACAAGGTCGCCTATTCCAAACTCCTTTCCGTCCTATAAGAACAAAAAAAAAAAAAAAAAAAACATGAGGAATCCCAGTGAAAGACAAATGATACCAGACCAAATTATGAAACTCCACTGACCAAGAGTGGAAAGTTTACTATAAAATTCAAGGTGCTGCTAGGCGTGGTGGCTAGTGCCTTTAATCCCAGCACTTGGGAGGCAGAGGTAGGCAGATCTCTGTGAGTTCAAGGCCAGCCTGGTCTACATAGTGAGTTCCAGGGCAGCTGGGGCTACAGGGAGACCCTGTCTCAAAAAGACCGAAAAAAAAAAAAAAAAAATTCAAGGTGCTACTGGGTGCCTTTATTCCAGCAGAAGTAGGCAGATCTGTGAGATCAAGGCCAGTCTGGTCTACATAGCGAGTTCCAGGCCAGCTCCTGTCTCATTAAAAAAAAAAAGGGCTAGAGAGATGGCTCAGCACTGGCTGCTCTTGCAGAGGACCCAGGTTTGATATTCAGTTAACAACTATCTGTAAATCCAGTCCCGGGGGTATCTGATGCCTCTTCTGACTTCTAGTGTCAGTGACTGCACATCCCAGGTGCACTTCCCTTGCACACATGCAGACACTGGGGAGGCAGAGGCAGGTGGAGCTCTGTGAGTTCAAGGCCAGCCTGGTCTACATAGAGTTCCAGGCCAGCTGGGGCTAGAGGGAGACCCTATCTCAAACCAAAGACTTTAAAGGCTATAGAACTTTCAAATCTTTCCTTTTCTCCCCTGTATATGAGGTATTGAGGAACCCAGGGCATGAAGCCATTCTGAGCAGTACCTGATACTCAGTGCTGTCTCCATCCCTGCTTTCTGTATCCACCTGTGTGGAGTCCATGCTCTCCTGCTGGCTGTCCTGGCCTAGGTCAACGGAGGGGGTCCTGCTGCTCCCAGGTGTCACTTCTTCATCTGTGAGGTCGATGGTGGGGTAGGGGCTGGATGGGGATGGCCACGGCGTGCCTGCTGATGTTCTTGCCCTCCGCCTCATGGACTGTAGACAGAAGGACACAGTCAAGACAGCAAAGCAAAGCAGGTGGAGATGCATAGGAACAGCCTCCCCCAAGGGATTTCCACACGAGCAAGTATGAAGAAACAAATCTAGACCCTGGAAGAGAGTTTTATAGGATCAAGAGGTGGCAGCCACTTAACCCCACTCCAAGGTAGAGCAGACACAGAAGAGGGATGTGAGTGCAATGACGGGTAAATGCTCAGGGCAGAAGCGGAGCTCAGAGAGGGTGGGATCCCCGGTTAACTGTCTCTTGTACATCTGGAAGCAGAAGAAGCAGGGTGTGCTGGACCTGTGGAGGTTGCCTCAGGACAGCCAGAGAGACACTACAGAGAAGAGTGAAGTCAGTGGCTTTCAGATCCATTCCTACATCAACTAGCTAATAGGAAACTCATGCACCCTTAACATAGTTCCAAGCAGGTTCAGTCAGGACAGAAGCCACTGGGCCAGGAGAGAAAGGAAGACCCTGAAAAGCAGGTGAGTGTGACGAAAGGACACAGAAAGGTTATATATACAACAGCCACAGCTGAGGTGAGTGAGACAGATCTTTCAATCAAAGGCTGGGTCAGGGGGACAAACCCTGGTAGCTGGAAACTCCACAGGGGAATCGTGCACTTGGTGGTGGCCCCGCCGGCCCCGGGTGACTCTCCGGGAGGCTCTGCGCCTCTCCCGGCTGGAGGTACTATTGCTATTTCGGGTTCGCACCTAAAAGCAAGAGGATAAAGAGTGGGCTTTAGGTGACTGGAGGCATGGGGTCTGAGGCAGGCGTCCACAAAGGATTAGGCCTTGCAGTGGCCTCTGGTCAACGTGAAGTGAACAATAATTAAAATGCCAACTCTGGACTGATGTAATAAGGGTATTGAAGGTGACAGGACCATCAATAGACTGTCTTGTTTGTTATTACATACAGATTGGGCCAGTTCGAATGGGCACCAGCAAACTGGGATTAGTAATTACCTTAAACCAAATACTCCAATAATCACTGGGTTTTTCAAGAAAGCATTAGATTAGAGAGAAGCCCATAAGCTCCATCAAAATGCCATGAACTTGGTTGTTGCAAGTCTATAATCCCAGCACTCAGCAGACTGGGGTCTAAGGTCAGTCTCAGCTCAAAAACAAAATAATGTTTAGACGTAGGGAAGTTGTTGGAAATCTGTGTACAAAATGGGGTAAATACATACTGAATTCAGGGAAGGTCAAATTATTACAATAGTTGTCACGTCACATATTGAACTCATCTGCTGTGTCTTTTACATTTCAAGAACTCTGAAATGTTCTTTGGTTTTCTGTTCTTCGATGTTTTGTTTTTGTCGTTTTATCTTTTCAGACAGTATTACTGTCTCTCTAGCTCAGGGTAGACTAGAACTCATACTTTCCTCCAACTGCTATGCCTGGCTCAAAGTCTCATTGAGGCAGTACATATACCCAAAGAAAAAATGACTCACGTAAGTTAACTGACAGCTGAGCCACATCAACCTGGAAACTACTGATTGCTAACTCCCAGAGTAGTCAAGAAAGACTCATACATACATCTCCCATAGCCAAGAAACGACAGAGCTCTACAGATATTTTCTAAATTTCAAATCCATTGAGAGCTGTGGCTATAGCTCAGTTGGTAGATTACTTGGCTCACACACAACAAGCCTTGGGTTTGGAGCTAGAAAGATGAGAAGGCTCAATGGCCAAGGGCTACAGTTCAAATTAGCTTGGCATTCACTATGAAGAGTGAGATCAACCTGCCTCTGCTTCCTGAGGGTTGGAAGCAAGCGCCACCATACCAAGAAGTCCTAGGTCTGATCCCATACCACTTAGAAGCCCAGGCTTGGTGGCACAGGAGAGTAAGAGGACAGACTGATCTAGAAGAGGAGTTCTAGTCCACCCTGTGCTGCAGAGTGATACACTGATCCTCTGGCCTCTACTTCCTAAGTACTGACATTACACATTTGCGCTACCTACCCAGACCTAACCCTTGTTCTTTTTAAGATTTTTTTTTTTTTTACTTATATGTATGTGTGTGAATCTATATGAATTCCTATGCACCATGTTCATGCAGGAGCCAGCTTAGGCTACAAGAGGGCATTAGATCACCTGAAACTGGAGTTATACAGGGCTATAAGTGCTGGGAACTGAACCAAAGTCCTTGACAAAAGTAAGAAGCACTCTATCTCTCCAGCTTAGGGACTTTTAAAATTAATGCATTTAGAGAGAACACAGAGATACCAAGATCAAGGATCTATCTATCACATCTGGGCTTGTCAATCAAGGCCAAGTATAATATCCATTCTTACCAGTTTAATCTGAACTTTCAAGAAGCCTCCCTTTTTTCCTGGCATCAATAGGGATTTAAAAAAATGAACCTGTGGTTTTAGTAGGGGAGAAACCACTGTTTCATGTGACATCAATCCAGTTCACTCACTAGAGGGAAAACATCCGCTCCAGATGACTTTCTGTAGGAATATCAAGTGAATATAAAGACCTCAGAAGAACTGTGGCCAGAGAATGTTGAAGATGGCAAAATTCAAGTACTTTTGCTTAGCAAGCTCTTGGGGTAATGTGTTTGGTCAATCAAGCCACTGTGGCTCATATACATTCTTTGACCTTTGTCCAAGGTCATCTTTACCTTGAAGTTCAGATTATAATCTGAATCATTCTGTTGGCTGAAGGACATGAATACATACAACTTAGGGGGCTGGGCTCAGTGTGTAAGCCTAACCACCTTAGGCTTGATTCCTGGGACCCACCATGGTAGGAGAGAAGGTATTATTTGACAGGCATTCATGTTGTGGCACACATATGCCCTACATTTTTGTTCTGATTAAACAATTTACCTCAACCTTGCTTTCTATGCAGGTCCATGATGGTGGGAAGTGCCTGGGCAGGGCAGGGGGTACTTACAGCTGGGCTTTCAGAGGGTATCCTGGTCTCCCGAGTGAGTTTTGGCATGACTGGAATTTCAGTGCCATCCCCATCCTCCTCTACTTCATCATCTCCATCTCCATCTCCAGTCAGGTCCTATGGAAAGGAGTAAGAATGAATTTCCCAATGCAGTGAAGTGACGAACACCCAGAATCTTTATCTACTTCAATTTTCTTAAGATTTCATGCTAGCTAACCACAGGACCACAACTTAGGACAGGAAAGAAAAGATAAACCCCAGGTCAAATTATAGAAATGTTATAAATGACAGGTTGCCTGCCAGGCAAGCTTCTGCAACTTTCACCATCTAGAGGGACACAAGCCAAGAGGTGGACACCAAGTCAGCCAGGAAGGACTACCATGTCAGACCTGGTCTCAAAAACCAAATTAAAACAAAAGCTAAACATACCATAGCCAAGTCAGGCTCATTCTAGGAATGAGTCCATTTTTCTTTTAATTTAGTGCTATTAGTCACAGAAATATATTATTTTCAATACACAGGAAGACTCTGATAATATAAGCTTTCAGGATTAGTTAAAATAAATGATTTTAGCCGTGCGTGGTGGCGCACGCCTGTAGTCCCAGCACTTGTGAGGCAAAGGCAGGCAGATCTCAGGGAGTTCAAGGCCAGCCTGGTCTACATAGTGAGTTCTAGGACAGCTGAGGCTACAGGGAGACCCTGTCTCAAAAAGACAAAAAAAAAAAGAAAAAAAGAAAAAAAATAAATGATTTTAATTTTAACTTGTAAATCCTAACTGTAACTCAAAGCTAAAGAAATACCCAGAGGGTACCTGAGTGTAACTTAGCAGGCTGGAGACCTCCCTCTTGGACAATCGTGAGCTTGATCTGCGGCCTATGGAGGAAAATCAAAGTTCACATTTGGGAAATAGGACAGTGGTCACGGGCCAGGAGGATGGCCTTGATAATAGTAATAGGAGTCCTCAAGACTGTGGCCTGTGCCTACTCACAAACCAAGCATTCCTCATCTCCTCTACGTAGTCACAAGGCAAGAGGGCAGGGAAGCAGGCTCCCAGGCTCATGTCTTCCTATCTATAAGCTAAGCAAGCAGTAAGGAAGAGAGGAAACTCATTCCTTCATAGCCCAATTCTAAAACTACAGCTGCATTTAAATGGCCAAACTGGTTTCTTACACTGAACACAATAAGTGTTCTCATATGATCAAGTGCCTATTGGGATGAACATAGAAATAAGCCACTTTTGTCTTTCTAGAAGTTCTAATGGACACTAGAACTCTAAGACAGAAAGGGATAATACAAGGGCCTGCAAACCAAGGCAGAGGTGGTAGAGGCCTTTAATCCCAGCACTTGGGAGGCAGAAGCAGGCAGTTCTCTGAGTTCAAGACCAGCCTGGTCTACAAATAAGCATTCTAAGCCAGCTGGGGCTACAGGGAGACCCTGTCTCAAAAAGAACAACAAAAAAGGAGAGGGGATGTAAATCAGCGGGGGGCTGAATTTCAGGTGGTCTGAGACTCCTAAAAGGAAGGGGCAGTAGGAAACACCCACCCATCACACTGCCACTGCCCACACCATAGGAGAACCAGTGATCTAGTCTGTGCTGAAACCAGTCACAATACCTGCTGTGTCAGAACTTCAGCCCAACCCATCCCTACCGGGCCCCACCTCTGCTCTCAGGTGTGCAGATTGCCTCCAAGACTGGGGGTGAGGGAGCATCCTTGGTGTCTGAGGACTGGTCACTGCAGGTTCCGTTGACAATGATGGAGTCCTCACACCCACTGGCACCTTCTTCCTCATTGAGGTGTCTGCTGTCTCCCTTCATTGTTTCCTGTGGGAGAAGATCAGGAGAAGTAAGAAGGAGGGACACAGGCGCCATAGGGTGCAGGACACCCCACCTCCCTAACTATGATCCAGTCTCGGCTGACATCCCGTCCTTGACCCCATGAGGCTCCCACCATACATAGCCTGTTTGGTCTGCTCACCAAACTTGAAGGCTCAGGACTTGGTTCCATGTGGCCAGGTAGCCTAGAAGCCTTAGGTGCCAGCACACACACAGAGGAGGGGAATGGTGTGGCTGGGGTCTGAGGCTGTTCTGTGCAATGAGCCAGCTCTTCAAACAAGCATTCAGGGCATGCTTACACCAACCTGCTTCCAGCCAGCCTAGGTTCCCTCTGTCCCTGGCCCCTTCTCCCTGCCCAGCTTCTGCTGGACCTCAAGAAGCCTGTGCACTATTTTCCCTCCTGACCCCTTTGTTTGTTCTGTCTCCAGGTCTCCTTCCCACTGCCCCTCCTCTCCCAGACAGGCTTCTCTCATCTCCAAGGCAGCATAAGCCCCACCCCAGCCCATCCTCGGGAGCCCATTGGTTATCTGGCCTATCACTCACTCCCTTCTCCCTCACCAGCTGAGACCGAGTCCCAAATTCTGAAGACAAGGATGGAGGAATCACAGGCAAAAGGCTGGGACAGTTACCAGGAGCAGCAGCCCCTGACCTGCTGCAGCCTCTCCCTGACTTCCAGGACTTGGTCTCCCCATTTTTGTCCCTATTAAACATGCTAAGACAGGGCTATGTCCTCACCAGTGGGTTAATAGGCTGTGTGACCTTGCCCTGGCTGTGGGCACCAATTAGACGTGTGAATGCAAGAAACTGCGTCTTTCTCCCAGGAAATGGGGAGTTCATTTTGGAGAAAAAGAAAAGTGATGCACCAGGTTAAAATCCCAAGGTTTCAACATCAAGTGCAACTTGGGACTCATCTGCAACAGTAGCACTCAGGATGCAGAGGAAGAGGATTGAGCTGAGGACAGTCTGGTATACACAGGGAAGATGCCACCAAAAAAGTTGGGGGGGGTAGTTAAAAGGAGCCATGCCTTTAATCCCGGCACATCGGGGCCGGGGGGAGGCAGGTTGATCTCTACTGAGTTGGAGGCAGGTCGCACAGTATGATGAGGCTCTCAGAATCCCATCCCCTCAGTCTCTCCACAGCCACAGTAGACACTCACCACATATACTCCTGCTCTGGAACTGCCTAGAGAAGAGTTCCCATTAAGCAGCTGCCTGTTTGGTACCAGTACCCTCCTTGCTTCCATCCCATGGAGACAGTCACCAGAAAAGGCTATTCCTGAAGCAAACCTTCTGGAAGCAGCACCTGGTACTACCAGGCTGAGGAAGCTATAGGCGTCACATCCACTAGGGGGTGCGAGGTAGCTCAATAAGAGCAGGTCCTGTGGTGCCCCATAGGTGGAGTTGCAGTTTACTCAAGGAAGCACCAGTTCCATCCTCTATATATGCCCCAGCATGGACACTGAGCAAGCAGGGCAGGCAGACCTCTCCCATTCCAGTGACCTGGGACCACTAATGGCATTATCCTGGAGCTACTTAGAACCAGAGTCTGAGGCCAGTGAAATGGCTCACCAAAACCCACATGGAAGGACTCCCTCCTGCTATCCTCTGATGTCCACGTGTGCACACATGCATACATGTGAGCATATGCGCGCACACACGCACACACACACACACACACACACATATGCATACACACATAATGAAGTATAAAAATTAAAATTAAAGAACAACTGCAGAATCTCGGGCACAGTCCTAACCCTGACCTGCTCCATCAGAATTTTAACTAAACTTTACTCAGGTTCCTGGGTGATTCATCTGCAGCGCTGTGTAGAAGGACAAAGAACAAAAAGGACTCTCCTCAGCCCCACAGGGGTCACAGCTCTTGGGCTTTTTTCCTCAGCACAAGGACTCCCTTCTGCTCCCCACAAGACCTGAGAAGTGTCTGATCCAGTCCCATCAGCTAGGTACCAGGACCAGTCAAGCTAGCTGACCCTTGGCAGTTCCTGAGGCCAAGCAGGAGAATCCCAGGAGAGCTGCTGGAACAGGCTTCCGAATAATAAGCATTTCTGCTCGGGCTGATCAGTGCACCAAGTAGCCCTAAGTGACCTGGCCTGGGTGGGAGGATAAACTCTGGTGGGATGCTCCAGAGGGCTAACACCCTCAAGGAGCTCTGGAGCAGAAGAGGGAGGAGGTATGGAGTCAGGCCTAAAGGAAGGCCACAACCTCTCATCCAGGGGCGGTGGTGGTTTCCTCAGACAGCCTTGTGGACTTCAGTCCCTCAGCGAGTCCCTGACTGGGTCAACTGAAGCCAGGAGTGTGTTGTCTCCCTAGGCAGCCCCAAATGGACCCTGCTGTCCAGAGTGGACAATGATTAACTACCTTGGACCTTTCCCTGAAGCATTAAGAATACCTACTTAGCTAGTACCTGAAATGGGAACAGCACACCTCCTCCAAAACAATAATATTCCACAAAGCCCTTGTGCCCTGGACTCACAGCCAGGAAAATGAGACATGTCAATGCTTCAGAGGGAAATCATGCCTTTCACAGTGCACAACTCAATGTTCTATCAGACTTTTTCTTTTTCTGGCCTTGAACTCACAGTAGCCCTGCCTCAGCCTCCCCAGTGGTAAGGTTACAGGTATTGAGCCACTACACCTGGCTCATCAAAATTCTCAGAGGCCAACCTAAGTTAATGAATCCAAACCTATTCTGTTACACATAACGACATCTTGTCTCATAAAAACTTCTATTATCTTTGGGGCTGGAGAGATGGCTCGGCAGTTAAGAGCACTGATTGCTCTTGCAGAGGACCCGGGTTCAATTCCCAGCACCCACATGGCGGCTACGAACCGTCCTTAACTCCAGTTCCAGGGGAATCCGAAGCCCTCTTCTGACCTCCGTGGCATTGCATGATATGGGTACATATATCCAGGCAATACACTCATACACATAAAATAAAATACACATAAAATAAAAATAATAAATAAAATTAAAAAAAAACAAACTTCTGTATCTTTATCTTCAACTCCTTATGACAAGGTGCCATCCTACTTGCCTTACAGCCAGCCAACTGTGCAGCTGTGCCTGCAATTAAAAACAAGCCTCGCTCCCTCTCTCCCTGCTGTATACATAAGCCCAACAAACACAGTCCCTGTCCATGTGCTGCTGCTGCTCCTGCAGCCTGGAAGCCCTCCCTGTCTTGGGCTTCCTTATTTCTCAGAGGTCAAAGACAGGAAGGAAGGGTTCTCTCCTAGACCTCTCTCCCAGAAGTAATCTAGATGGAGATGAGGCTCTTAGCTTAGTGATAACAGTAATTGCTTCTCAGGAGACCCCAGGTTCAATCTCCAAAGTCATGTGCTTCCTATCTATCTTTACCTAGTAAGATAGTTTGAGTGCTTACAATTCACCAGATGCTATTCTGTGCTTTATCTATATTAA